GCTTGGATGAGAACCAGCACTGAGCGACTGAACATCGAAACAAAACAGTCAACGTTCTAGGGTGATTTGGATGTTCATGGACAGCAAGGGATGTTAACTAGCTAGTGATGTCTCATGATATTGTTTACTTCTTGCCGTTGTGTGTGTACTCTGTGTTCACTGGCAGCTGCGTTTTGCCCTGCAGTAAGTATGATGTAGCTCCTTTGCGAAAGGAAGAGGAACAGCCGAACAAAGATCCCAAAAGCTGGGGTCACTCAGGAACTACTTCTCATAGCCATGAATGGGGTAAAGACTTAAACATACAATGATATTGTGATTATGTATAAACACATTCCTAGAAACTCAACAAGCTTGTCTAACCACCGCTTCAGCTCAGCTGGCTGCATTTAATGCAATCAGAGAAGTGCTTGACGACACTTGTTTGACACATCTTTTTCTTTGCAGGTGTCTAAAGAGTGTGGGCCAACTATCAGCTCTAACAACACAAGGAAAGACATGGAGTTGCTCACACTTACTATCAACACGTTGACATTTGATCGAAGGTAAAGTTTTGTGCTGACTATGCCTATGCTATTTCCATCTTTCAGTCTTTGCTTTCCTGAGAGGTTTATGTGCGAGTGACCGTCTTAAACCCGTAAGAATAACACAAGACACCTTTGCACGCCTTTGTGCCTTTACACAATACTGGTATGCAACAATGTAGTCTGACTGGTTAGTTGATTGCTGGCTCCGGTGTTTGAAGTGCTCTGGCAATGGATCGAAGTTGAGAAAAAGACCCTGAGGATGCACCAGTCACTCCCAGATGTTGCATTCGTGCCACTTCAAATAAGTGAATGATCTTGTGAAGGAGTGCCCTGATTTGTGCCTGCTGTCCAGGTCAATGCTTCAGATGCCGCAAACCCTTTTTGGTCTGCGTCAGTTGCTTGGAAGGCACCAGCGGGGGTGTATATGTGAACATGGCAGAATTCTCAATCCAAGAGCAGCCCCAACAAGGCTTGTCCGGGTGGAGCAAGGGGAATCTGGCCGCTCATTCACTTGACGGATAGACGTTGAGTCGGTTACCCAACAGACCGTGGAGATCGAATGTGGAAAACAAGATGAACATCAATCCTGGGTATGGAGACTTCTCCGGCTTCAATGTTGGAGGTCGTTATCACATCTTTTGTCACGATGTCAGAAATGGGCTTGAGACTTCCTGAACCTGGAAGGATTAAATGACACACAACAAGTGGTGCTTTCCATCCTGTTTCATTTTGATGCTGTGGACGTTGATATATTTGATTGTATTTGCATTGAACATTCAATTTACCGTCATGCAAGTATAGAGGAAGATCTGTCAAGCGGATGTGGAAGCTCCAGGAAAGTGAACATTACAGGCACTCAAAGCCAGGGGATGTACCGGGCGCGTGGCAGCACAGAACGATTACTGTTCGCGTGTCATCGACCAAGCATTCGACAGAGATTCGATATAGAAGCGTGCCCTAGTCTCAGTTGTTCCTCATTTTCTCACTAGAGGAAGAAGTTTTTCTTGGTACTGTAAATGCCGCAGTGAATCGTTGCCGAGGCGAATGCATCAGATCCGCAGAATGGCGCGGGGCTCTTTGCGTCTGTACTCTTGCTGCATTGGGCATGGATGAAAGCAATATCTGCAGGGCATTGTGATTGGGCTTCGATTCCACCCTGAGACAGGAAACAGGTAGTACGTCTAATTCGGAAGCAAGGCAAACGGAAGCAGGAAGACGAAGGGAAGGGGGGCTTGGGTGGTTCCATGTTCATCGATGCTTCATTCTTTTTCGATTCGCTGTGCCCCTGATCCCCCGTCGTTGGCCCGGTCGTTGCTGCTCAATCCGAACCACGAACGACCGGGACGGTGAAACCTAGGTGAACGCTGCGAACGCAGGTGGCGGAGGGAATGGTTCGGTCCGAAGCAGAGGGACTCGGGACACCGAACAAACGACACTTGGCGACGGACAATGCATTCAACGTATTTCAACGTTGTATCTAGCACTGTAACATGTACCCAAAAGAAGGGCCCTGTCGTTGGAGGGTGCTTGGGGATCACGGGCTGTGCTTCAAAACTGAAGACTGAAGACCCAGTAATTAGATGGATGTGTCATTCATGATTCATAACCATTCCAACGCCCACTGGCAGCAATAGGATGCAATAGGTACGTGAGCTTTCATTCCTTTTTGGAGTGCTTTGCTGGATTATAGTGGCAGCAGATAGATGTCACATCACATGTTTATTGTAGATGTATTGTACTTCCTGTTAGATGTCCAACAACTTCACATGTTTATTAGTGAAACTGTAGATGTACTGTATTTGTTTTGTAGTTGCTGTTAGATGGTCAAAATTCACTGGGTTCGGGGAAGGTTTTTCACTGCAGGGTTGATCATGCTATACTACCCCTTGGGACAGTTTTCAGGTTCTCACGGTTCGGATCCTTTGCAGCCGCCTTTTGGTGTCAAAAGAGTGTGGACCTTTTCCTTCACGGACCGTGCCATGAAAGCACCGGGAAGCCAGGAAAGCTCTCTTTTTGGCTCCACCAATCTCAAAGGAATACACCTCAATTGGTCGTATGTCAGTATTGAATGGTAAGTACATGCATCTACTGACCTACATGAAAATCACATGACGACCACTGAAACCAACCAAGCATATCCAAATATCAGCCGATGGTTTTAGTATTCTTTAGTCTTTAGTGGTTATTCATGCGGTTTTCATGCAGTCCACAATCTTTAAAGATCAACACCAGCCTGCTTGCCGGCCCGTAGCCTCCAAAAACCATGCATCTAGGTGAAAATTACTCCCAAAGAATGCCCCAGCCTCAAAACGGCCGAAAACTTCCAGCACAGAGTGTGATGGGACGTCATACATCCGAGGTCCCGGCGTGCCATGAAGAAGCCAAAAAACATAAAACACGCTGTTCGGACAGTGCTTGGAGACATACATCCCTGATAGATGCAAGTCCAGACATCCCGCATCGCAGGCGGAGCCGACGGCCTCTTTGGTGACTCGCCGCCCAGTTGGTTCGATCAAATCGGAGGGAGCAGCTCTTATTTCTGAGTGCACCTCGGACCCCAATGCATTTTCGTGTTTCACTTCGGCCCAAAAAAGGACGACGGCTGCCCTGTCGGTGGCGACACCGGGCCACGGGTATTCAGGGGACGAGATTGGGTGACTGGGTGACGCGTCGACACGCGGACCCCCACATCGGTGACGTCTCGTTCTCTTTGGTTCAGAATCGAAGAGCTCGGTGGGGCAAAAATTCTAGAAGATGTCGTCGGGTGTGGCCAAAAAACCGGGTTCCAATAGGTTTATACTTTTGCCCACACGTGCGGCTTCGGCATAGGTAATTGACGGAGCCGTGTGTTTACTTGCCAGCAAGTAAAGCGTGTCCATGAATGTCCTTGAGTGTTTTGTTGGTTTGCGACATGTTCTGGAAGGTTTGAGATGTATGGTTTTTCGGGGGAAGAGCAACCAAGTGCATGGATAGAATATGATAGAATACTATAATATAGATCAGAATAAGACCTCAAGTTACCTTAAGTACAACTAGTTAAGTACAACTAGAATCACTATTTAACTACGTCGCATTAAATGACAAACTTTCAAACATGTCCAGCAAACGCGGCGAGCAGACGCGGCAGATGTCCGTGTTGAGCCACAAGGGGTCCGCAGGCTCAGCCAGGGCAGCCAGGCTCAACGTCCAAAGCAGCCTTTCTTGGATTAGTACGGACAATGTTTGATTTAGGAGGCTTGTGTAGGGCCAGCACAAATGTATCTTGATCTGTAATAATCTATATGCGTGCAGAACTGTGGAGAACCGATGACACCTGTCAAGTTTCGGCTTCACAGTGGATTCGAGGTGGAAAGCCATTGAAAGATAGCCAAAAGGCGATCTTGCTTTTGAAGTAGAAGCACCCGAAGACAGATCATGCTGATTGAACAAAATAAAGCGAACTTGCTGAACCTAGCGGAAAGACCTCCACATGTCAGATGAAGTGTGAAAGAAGACAAGGGAGACTTGATCATATTCATGATCGGGGACCATGTGTTAACCGAAAGAAATTGTTGATGGCTGTGGGTCAATTCCTGTGGACAATTCCTGTGGAAGGTATAGACATTAAAAGCATCGTCCAATGAACCACCCGAAAGGTCAACCTGTATGTAGCTTCTTGCATTCTTTCTGTCACAAAACGCATCTAAAAGCAGACATGCCCACCAAGCATTGGGCCCATCTTCGTGCGCGCCCCGAAAACCACCTGAAGACCGAATCACACGCGAACACAGCCGAACCGGGCGGCGAAGAAGTGGCATGGCGAAGGTGCTGCTCAGCAGGATGGCGAACGAGGCGAGTTCATGGCCTGGTATAGAGGGTATTGATGGATTTTATGGCCTTCCATTTGGGATGGAAGAAGAACACATGATCTAAGATCTTCTAAAATGATAAGAGGAAGGTGTTCCTCTGGTGTTTGCCATCAGAGTCCAGAAGGCAAGATTCAGCGGGCACATGTTTGGAGCATGAGACCGCTGAATCAAAGAACATGAAAGAACCCCTGGAAGAAGGAGCATGGACCAAACGACATTCTGAGACCAAACTCGGTGCAAGTACAACTCTACAACACCGACGGTTTTGTTGTGCAGTTTGCGACATGAAATTGAAAGCAAAGCCAGATCAAGCCAGTTACCACTATGGTAGCATATGGTAGGTTGACCAGTGTTTCCAAAGACGGAATCCCCCTGGTGACCTCGCTCCCAGGTACTACCCTTCCTTCTTAGCTTTCTGGACTTTGCTTTCAGGCGGGGTGGAGGCCATCGCTACTAGGGTGGAGGCCATCGCTATTAGGTTGGAGGCCATTACTACTAGTAACAAGAAGCTACTAGGAAGAAAGGACATCGCTCAAGAAGCTACTAGTAGCTCCTGGCCTTACTACTAGTAACAAGCTACTAGGGTGGAGGCGTTGGCGGTTGAAACGGTGCCGTGGAGCTCGGGCAGATCGGTGCAGATTCGTGGAGCTCGGCTCTCTTGGCTGGGTGGTTGAAGCATTTCAGCCGTCCAAGGCTTCCTTGGGTACAGCATATATAGACAATAAGCCATTAAACAACCAACAAAATATGCATATATAGGGCACTATTCATATATAAGCAAGTTTTTTAACAAAAAGCCATAGCCATAGCGACACAAACAAACATATAAACCTGAAATAATAATCTATTTTTGTGCGGAAGCAACAAATTAGCAACGATCCACACCCTCCGCTCAGTGGTGGTGAATCACAGCTTACTTAAGCTACTAGCCTTACTTGAGTAGCCGCCTACTTAATTACTGTAAGTAAGGGTGGGCAAATTCAAAACAATTCCTATTTCTGACTAGTTTAGTCTCTACAAACCAGCCATGACTGGTACTGAAAGCCACACGTCGCGAACTGCGGCAGGCTCCTGGTGATGTTTGCCCGAGCGCTCTGGCAGTCACGCCAGGAGGCGACTGACCAACATTCAGATGTTCGGGGTCCGTAGTGGTTGGATGAGGCGTTCGTTCCTGCGTTTTGGGTATTAACCAAGCGAGCTCGAAACAGGTTGAAACTGAAACGTCTTCCTCACAAAAACTATAAAGACCGAGATGCGGTGTGGAATCCTTATGGGACTAAGATACTCCTGGTTCCCACAAAGATATGGTTTGATGGCCTGAATTGATGGTACATAGCATGATTGGTTGGGTTTCATCCAGCACCATGTCCGCCATGTGGAATCATGCATGGCGTGCCAGGTGTATCTTGCCAGATTGGAGCTGGCCGATGACCAAAGAGTACCACCAGCAGTTCTAGTCGACCAGGCTGAACCTAGCAGTTCTAGTTGATTTGCTGCGGCGAATCCACACGGATCATGACCGATCCAATGAATTACAGTAAGCTGGGGTTTCCTTGGGGCGTAATTGGTGGAGACCGTAGATGTCCATATATGTCCGATTTTTACGCTTCCAAATCTGTTGGAGGCATACAAACATCAATTTTTGAGCCGAGCTGATTGTCGTTCGCATGTCGGGCTTCACATAGCTTCGCAGGACCAAGGTCCGACACCTGCCGAAAATGAGTGGGGCACCCAATGCCCCAAAACCTCTCCGGGCTCGATGTTTCTCTCAGTCTCTCTTTTTTTTGAGAAGGTTCTTCACCTTTCGACCAAGTTCCAATAGATTCGCAGGTCGGCTTTCCGGAAGCATTTGTTCCACCTGGCTTCTTAGGAGACCTGATCTAGTTATAAGTGGTTTTTCTTTTAGAGCATCATGCTATAGACTATAGACGTCGATCCTTTCTGACTCCCGGCGCTTGCAGCGTAGAAGCCGCTTCCCTGCTCCGACTCGTCACTCCCGGCAGGTCCCAGCGGTGCCCTGCGTCACCGCGGTCCGCCCATCGGAGATGTGGCCGGATCCGCTGGAGGTGCGGTGAAAGAAGAGGTCGTTGTGAAACCTGATCTGAAGATATGGCAATGGTTTTCCAAAGGGGTGCCCTGAAAAGAGTCAAGGAATTGAATAGGTTTGTGCCATTGACTCTGCACAAACTACCCAGATTTCAAGCAAGTTCACTGTAAGAAGGAACCAGTGCTTTGTTGATTCGTTGGAACATATTTCTTGTGCAACAACAACATCGTGTACACTGGCTACAACAGCGGTGGCATGGAATCGCTTGCTTTGAGGCGCTCTCGCATTTGGATGGCCTGGTGGAAGAGGTGGATGAAGAGGAGAACCTCTCCATTTTTGAGCTACAGACTTGGTGGATGAGAGGTGGGGATCACCCAGCTCCCGGAGACCCATCAGACTGATGTCTGGTCGACAGCGGACAGCGGACAGCGGAGATGATGACTATTTATATGCATGATTTGTTGGCGTTACATTGGTGTGGTTCCAATAAGATGCTTAAACAAGGGTCGATGTATACAGGTGCGGGCATCGTTTTCTTACTGCCGCTTGGTTGTTGGGGATAGGGATCGTTTTCTGGAGGTTTGGAGGTGGGGATGGATGAAGGAGCTGAAGGTGATAGGGTGACCCAGCAAGGAGGTGGATTTTTTAGAGCTGGATAAACCCGTGAGGACCGTGGGCTTGGAGGATAGGTTGAAAAGGCTAGGGTTAGGGAGCTGGTTGGAGAGGTGGTTGGAGAGATCACAAATGCGGAGTGTGATGGCCAGCATCATGCTGAAGTCTCGACTTTGGTCAGTGAGTGAGAGGATGTCCTTTCACACATCTAGTATGATCTATATAGTTATTATCCAGCTATATCATTCGCAACTTCGGCAGCCAAGACGCCTTTTCCAAGGCGGTTGCGCCCAGAAGTTGCAAGCCGAGCTGGAGTTGGAGAAGGTGGTGGAGAAGGTGGGAATGGCATGGGAGACCACTGAGACTGAGACCTCCAGATTTGGGCAGCCTCTGGGTTTAGAGATCAATGAATACTCCCCCAACAAGCTCAACAGCCTTGGAAGTGAGCGAGTTGTTAGGTCGTCTCAGGCCATCGAACAGGTTGGAGTTTCTGAAAGCCATTGAAAGCCAAGTAGCTTTGCAAGAGAAGAGCCGGCCTAACACAGAATGTAGGGAGTTGGGTGCTTTTGGACCAAACCTTGCTTCCACACGGTGCGTTGGGCTTGCTGTTTGCCTCATCTCCAGTCATCGCTGCTCGCCGATTGGTGTCGAAGATGTTAAAGAGGTGGAAAGATATTGGAGAATGGGGGGTCTTTTGAACTGCTCAAGCTTGCGTCACCACTACTTCAGGAGGAAGAACGTCCTTTCACTCGTCCTTTCTTCTTAGCTGTTCTTGCAACATATGTGGATCAGCCGCGGTCGAATTCGGAAATCCATTTCGCGTGGCCGGTCAGTTATCAATCGCTTTTAAATTTGTAAGTATTTGTAGCATTAAAGAGCTTTGCTGTGTGGATGGCTTGGCCCCTCGGGCAGGTGCAAGGGCTTCTGAAACGACGTGTTCGGATGGATGTGAGTCTCTCCGAGGCCCGTCCTGGGGACGAGGTTGGACGAGGTTGGACGCACCAGTCCTGTTTCAGGTGGATTTGCAGTACTTTTGTTGCGTTTGGGGTGAAGTTGGTGGTACCAGGAGTCACATGGAGGGCCGTCGGGTGGTGTGCCTCGTCCCATCGTGGATGATGATCACACCCCCACGTTCATGGAGAGCAGCCCGTTACGTTGTTTGTGACTGTTGGTATCATTTACTGTATTTGCTTTGGGACGGAGATCCCAGGACCGTCCGGAGGACCCCGTCCGAGGACCCCTCAGCAGTGCTTGCTGCTTGGCCCCCGAGCCCAGCTAGATCCATATATACGGGTAGGACGTTGCTTGGCGCTGGGCTCGGAGTCGGCGGAGCTAGACACGTAAGACGCTGCAGGCTGGAGCTGCCATCGCCGTTGGGAGCTCAGAGGCGTCTCCCAAGGCGTCTCCATCGCGCCGCATCACTTGTCTCCATCGTGCCGAAAGCTCATCGTGCCGCACGGGGGTTGGAAGCCTCCAGAAGGGCCGCATCAATTCATACCCTTCGTAGGAGATCTCAGAAACAAATTGGGACGAAGATGTACGAACCCCACTTCAAGGTACGCTTCCCTTCTACGACCTTCTACCACCAGGTTCGTACCTTAGTACATCTTAGTAATTATAGTGTTTGAGGGTCCCAATCCGGTGGTAGAATTGGTCAACCTCAGCTCCTCAAGCTGTCTCCTCTTTCGTCGACTCTCGGCGTGAGAGACATGTCTCGGCGCGAGAGACATGTCAGGAGCATGGATGTCCCGACCTTGCGATGCGAAAAAAGCCGGGCCAAGAGCAATTGAAAACTGACCAAGCAAAACCAAGATGAACATGTGAAAGCTATTGATTTATTCCCACGGATCTGGGCGCAAAGGAGGTGGTGAAAGCAACGATCCACACCCTCACAAATTGTTGCAGGCAAAGCATCTACAGTAAAGTAAACAGGAGCTGCTGGTAGCCGAGGGGGGGTAGCGAAGGCAAGTGAAGTGAGTCCAATGACTTATGCTTCTTCAAGACAGCTCAAGTGGAATATAGAAGTCGTCCATCCTCTATTCAAGATTTCTACCTTTTTGCCTGGTTTTCCCATTTGCTGCCAGGCCCCCCTCCTCTCTGTCATCCCCGCCCATCTCCTCATGTTGCGGCCAAACTCCACGACCCAGGTTTTGGGTGCCAAAAAACTGGAGTCCGCTTGAAACCCAAATGGAGTCCGCTTGAAATCCAAATGGAGTCCGCTTGAAACCCAAATCATTTGGCTCATTCAAGTGAACATCTTCAGCCAGCTTTTGCGTTTGGCGCCACAGCTGACTGGATCGATGCTGCGATCGCTCAGGTCTTTGGGCCTCGCTCAGCGATGCAGTTGGCCGCACCCCAGTCGGGTAGCACAGCGTCGAATGGCACGGCGTCTCAAACTCTGTTGGGGGTTACTCCAAACACGGAAACATGGGGATATAAAACTGTGTTAGTCTGGAAATAGATGGAAATAGCATTGTCAAAATACGGAGTAAAGTTCTATTGGCAATAGTGTGGTCCAGGATGATCATAGGAAAGGAATCCTTTTGGGTGATGTATTGGCAAGGACATGAATGAAAGGACACATTCAGAGCTCTCACTGGCAGTAAGGAGCAAATTGCATAGTTGTTGACTGACTGAGCTGACTTGCTTGCAAGAACTCAAGGCTTGCTTGAGAATAGAACAGGTGTGGCAGACCAACGTGCTCTTACTGGTCCTACTGGCAGAAAGCAAGACTTTCATACAAGAGGAAAACAAAGCTCCCAATTAGAATTGACAAGTTTCCTTGGATTTGATTAGATTCAACAGATTTCAACACGACAACAGATGTTCAACATGTCCTTTCTCCAGTGTGGTTTGTGAACTTGCTATGTGATGTATCACAAAGTGCAATCCTTTGGGGGGTTGTTCTGCTGAGGTCTTCTTGAAGTTTTGTGTAAACAAAGGTTACTGTTGCCACCACCTCTCCCAGCAGCCCTGCCGCCGAGGTTGAGAGTCGCTGGCCTCGAGGAGGCGGGGGCGAGGGTGACTGCTCGAAAAGTGAAGCAGCGAGACCGAGAGTAGATGTTGATGGGGTTCAGGGTTTATAGGGTTTATTTTCGGGTAATAATCGTAATTCGTTGTAATTATACATGTTTCAAGTCTCTCTATTTCTATACACTCATTTATACAATCTACAAGGGATCTTCAGCCTTGAGATAAGCTTTCTGAAGGAGAGATGGCCCCCATTGTGGAGTGTATGAGTTTCGTCAAACCGAAAAGGGTGTTCAGTACTGAGGTTGGGTTGGCACAACGACTTGTGGGTGGGTCCTGGCATAGATCTCCTTTTGCATGATGTTGTCAACTTAGAAATAGAACAGATTATAAGCAGACGCCAAGTGAAGGATGTCTTCCGAGCTGCGGGCTTGGGAAGTTGGGCTATGTTCTTGAAGGGTTTGTTTCAGTTCCCATCTACTAGGAGCAAGGACGCTACTAGGGCTAGGGGCTCCTGGCATCGCTACTAGGAGCGTTCGGACGCTACTTTCCTCAACACCCCGGACCCGTTTCTACGCTCCGTCCGATATGTCCCGCGGCCCGCGGGATTTCTGCGAGCACGCAGCAGGAGCGACCGCGAACGCGGCCGAACACGCCGTCGACCGGCTTTTTTGGCCTGCACTGCAGCGTGCAAGAGGCGAGCATGGGCAGGGAGCACGGGCTCCCGCGGGGAAGCTGCTGAGACTTGGGGTCTAAGTCTCTAAAACATACATATTAATATATATATATACATAGAAGGATCAATCTTCGGGTAAGAGGTGGTTATTGCTGGCAATCTCACCTGTTAGAGCTCACTGTGCCAACAACTTGAGCAAGCGAGCCATTGACCATTGAATCTTGAAGCCTAGAGGCCTAGGGGTTCGGGTCTTTTGCTCCAGATTAAAAGAGTTTTCACGGAAAACGTGTTCATCCCACCCAGTTGGTAGATGCCCAAGGATTTCCATACAATTGTCCAATTGCCCAAGCAACACTTGTTTAAGCTGCTCGTTCTCAGCTCAGACTTTGGCAAGAAAACATCCAAGCTGCCGCTTCGCTCATGCCGCATCCGCCGCCTTGGCCCACGGCTCTCGATGGTCAGGTCTGGGACCTCGCGAAGGCGCCTTGGGGACCTTTTTGGCGGGTGTGGAGGTGGCAGGCTGACTTCGAATTATTGAGACGTTTTTCAATGACCTGAAAAAGAGACCAACTATTAGCACGGCCGATCATCAGGACATGTTGATTAGAGATGATTTGAGGATGTGACAGTCTAGGAGTTGTCCGGTTACCACTGACTGGTGCCTGTCAGGAGCACTTGCTCTTCGATGCGCCGATCTGGCTTGCTTTTCAATGTATGTATAGTACAGTAGAGCTTCGCATACCCGCGATGCGATGAGAGTTGTTGTTGTTGTTGTTGTTGTTGTCGTGGCTGTTGTTGCTTCCTTTCTGTTGTTGGACAGATTCCTGGATGGACGCCCTTCCCGGATGTTGATCCCTCTTTTGCAAGTGATTTGTTGGAACACACCTTGGTAGAAATAGCTCCGGTACCCTCCAAGGCATGATGAGCTGCAGCCTTTAGGCACATGTTTGCCACAGACCTTCATGCCAGAGACTGCTGCAGATGTTGTTGTGGTAGCAGTGTTTGACTTGAAATCAAACTTGACATGTGTGGCTAACCGTCTTGCTCCCACGCCAGGTTCGAGGCAGAGTGGCTGGATTTGGCGTGCCGCTTGGCGGTCGTTGGAACATGCGTAACCCATGAGCACGACATGCCACGAATGGAAATGTGATGAACATGAACCATGGGTGATGTTCGATGCCGAACTTTGCTGCAATGAACAGTGCGCACAGGAATGCAACATGGAACCACAATTTTATCAATGATTTGATATATTATAATATATATATTATATATGTGGATTCAGTGATTGATTGCCAAACATGGGAACTCTGTTCCGGGTGTGCGCTCTGGCTGCAGTGCTGTGCACATGCTTTTGAATTTCAAGCAGCCTTCAAGCACTCTTGTCGCGTTTGTGTGCATTTTCACCCTGTTGGGGACGGGTGCGGGGTGCGTTGGTGATGGGCCTGTTCAGTTTTAATGTGTTCGGATGTGCTGCTTGCCATGGTCACGGTTTCGGCGCAGTGTCTTGAGGGTTTTGGATGTTCCAGTGCCGGTTGCTTGGGGTTGCTTGGGTTCGGTGTCGGTTTTAGGAACTGTATTGATAACAGGCACTGGTGTCGTTTTGCCGCCGCGGTATTTGTCAACTCGAGACTCGAGATACATTCCTAGAACATGTTCCTTTGCAAACTGCACGATCCCCAGGTGTTTGGTAGCAACATGTGTTGGATGGGTGGGCCAACACCAGCCAATACCTGTCCGCCCAATTGGGGTTTGGATGACGAGCAGGTTTGCTTTGGCAAGCTATTTGGGGGGATCCTGCAGAGTCCATGGATTTGGGATGATTTGGGTACAACACGCGAAGATATTGATCAGTATGATGGGCAAACATCATCAGCATGATGGGTTCTCAGCGCTGTACAATTCAATTGATATGTGTTATACATAATTTCATAATTACTGCGTAATTATATAATATTACACAGTACACTGTACACGCATAGATAAATTTGTTCTGTATGTGTTGTTTGCTTGCCATCCAACAAATTCACTGACCACGTTAAATGAGACGGTGCTGCTCAGCGTTGTTTCAACACGCCCAGGTTCAACCCCGCCCATACGGCAGTTGCTGAGGGAGCGGTTAAGAGAGGCCTGGGTGTTCTTGGGTGTTGCGGTGTGGACTTTCGTGTTTTTTCCCCACTAAATCAGAAGCTCCTTTGGCCAGAGTGTCAAGGGCCCCAAGGGCTTTGCCGGGAAGCCCTGGCTTGACAGATGGAACAGGTGGAAACCCTGGCTAAATATTTACATTTTCAGGGACACGGCTCAGGGGTTCGTTGATGGTATTCCCCGCTCGGGGTTTCGTTTGGGATTTTTGATGGGGGGAATGGTGGATGAGAGTCTGATGAGTTGGACGTTCGGCCCTTGTTTTGGGGGTTCATGGGTCCACCTGTGACAGATCGTGTCAGGAAAAAAATAGGGCGTGACTGTAGGTGTTGTGAGAGATTTGGATCCCGAATTTTCGGGACGATGACACGTAAGAGTTTTTTAGCCTTGTTGCATGGAGCAGTTTTGGCCAGCATGGTCATGTTGCATTCGCAAGCAGAGCAAGGCTGAGTTCGATGCATTTTAGATCATTTTAGTATGTTTTTATCCAATTGGCATAAGCTAAGAAAGGGCGAGTTCAGTGAACCTCCTCTGTATAGAGGAATCATTGGCTGGTGAAACTGAGGCGAATCAACGCGCCCTGTTCCGTAGAGCTTTGGATTCAAACAGATGGTACCAACCCCGCTCTCTCTCTCTCTCTCTTTAGTGAGACTTACAGGCTGGACAAAGCCATCGCTCAGATGTCCAGCTTTGGGTGAAAAAAGTGGATGGGAAACAGGAGAACACGAACAAAGCCGCATGTTCCTTCCAGGAAATAAACGAAGACTTGAGTACATTGGTACACTGTACACTTGGTACACAGTCGCAGCAACTTCATAAATGTGTTACGTGACACGAGTGCTTCTTTAAGGGTAACAGGCTGCTTCTGTCTCACCCTCCGTATAACTTGGGCTCACATGACTACGAACGCGCAAGGGCATTCCACTACGAACGTCACAAGGGCATGACTACGAACGTCACGTTCGAAGCTGCGAACGTAGCGCCCTCAGGGCGTCATAAGATGCTCACGGGTAACGGCTGAACGGCAGACGGCCGTCTTCGTCTGCCAGGCAGTGCAAGGCACTGAGCTGCACGTCTTCATGGCGGGTTCCTTAGGATGAGAATCAGGTGGCACAGAGAGAGAGAGAGGGAGAGAGAGAGAGAGAGACCCGATCCGGAGAGAGAGACGCTCTCCGAACCGCTCCGTAGGGTTGCCACTGGAATGGTTTGACAATGGACGAGCTGCGATCGCACCTCCTTTCACATGTCTTGGACATCGTTTCGTGCTCTATTTTGGCACGCCTGGACTGTGGTTGACCTCTAACAACAAACAAACATGACCAATTGATCCCATGGTTTGGAAGTGCTGGTTCCCACTCCCAACTCTAGTTTGCAGTATGTCTCACAGGGCTCTTGGCTCTTGAAGGTTTCCTGAGAAGCTCCTGAAGTGTCTCTCCCTCTATCTCTTTTCTCTTTGGAACCAGCTGATTTTGTTCCAAGGCATATGTTATGCTGGTGCACATCTTCACATGCTTCATGAGGATGCATTCTTTTTGCTCAACTGGACCCCTTGAGATCGCTGGAACAAAAACAAGGACCGGTGAGTGAACCCAACTACTAGTACCCTTCGTGTTTGAATTTCGACCTCCCAGCACCGAGATTCGGCCCAGAAAAGGCAGACCTGTTGAAGAACCTTCGGTGTTTTTTGTTCCGAGGATTCCAATCCTTGGGAGGAGACGACCTCGCAACATGCTTGCCGGGGACTCCGGAGCGAACAGCGGAAGCGGAACCCGCGCGGAACGCCCACGCGGAACCCGCGGAACCCGCGGTGCCCGGCCCGGGATGAGACTCAGAGGTGACCTGGATGTTGGTTTGGTTCCTTTGATGTGTTAGTGGATGGTGTTACTTGAAATTATTTGAGCTGTGGTGGTTGACCTGGATTGATCCCCCTTTCAACCAGTCCTTCATGTAGGCAAAGAGTACAATGCCACGGATTCACTGGGTGTGAAATCATGTGTCCTGTCCTGCTTCTAATTTTTGTAGGCCCTTTCTGTTTGGGTGATGCTTGGGGGCAGTGTTCAGTTAAGTCAACCCCTGTCAGCCTAAGTGGGGGACCTGTATCTCGTCATTCAAAGTCTAAGGAAGAGATATGAAGAGATCATGGGCTCGCACGGGATTCACATGGAGATTTGCCCCACTCTTCGCTTTGGGTGGATCTTCTGAGTGGAACTTCACCACGTGGCCTTCAATGGCCTCCCAGCCACGACGTGCGAAACGAGCGTGCGACTCGTTCGTCCCTACACCACGACGACTTCACAGCATCACGAATCATCGCACTACACACATCTAAACGCCACATCACAGATCAGTCACAACACTTCGTAAACTCACAAATCACCAGTCTTACACTAGGATGTGTGTTCCGAAGCAGGTGGTTTGATGCTATAGACAAGCCACATCACACCAATCACCGAAAAAGAAAAAACAGCGAAGGGTCACCACCGTCACCATTTGCAAAACCAGCTGAAACCAGTGTCAACACCGCGAACCTCCACGGGAAACGCGAATTCACACCGCGAACCTCCGCAGATCGACCTTCCAACCTGCCGGGCCGTGGGATGTCACATTGCCGCAAAACGGCCCAAACCTCTGGTCCTCCTTGCAGTTTCCTTTGGGTGACTGTAATTGGTAGGGTGTTGGTCCCAAAAACGCTGTATGCTTTTTGGTATGAAGCATCCAAAAGGTGCACCTTCGCTCCTTAGCCACTCCGCTGCCTGCCTTCCACCGGAGGCCTCGATTGGATCGGCGAGCTGAACGCCGAGGTGGGAGCCGGAGGACGCCTCGGTCCATCGGTGGGACCGGACGGTTTTGGACCCGTGCTCCCGGTGTCTAAAACACATAGTTCTGTCAAGCTGCTTCTATGCCGATTTCGTTCATTTCAGGAGTCCTATATATAGTATATATAGGAGTTGTGTTGACCCAAACCTAGTCTGACCCAAACTTCCACATGTACCCCAAGCCTGGGTTGTCAGGATTTTTCAGGTGTTCGAACAACGTTTTCTCAAAAGCGTTCGATTTGTGTCGCTTCCTTCGGTGGACGACACGACCGATGTGGGTTACCTTCGGACCTCGATGGGGGCGAGTATCATCCGAATGAGCCTCTTTGTTGACCTCTATGTTGGACCACCAAGCACCCCAAAAAGATCCCCAAATGTGTGTTTTTTCCCCTCAAAGCAAAGCAGAGGTCAAATAGGTCTCTAGGATGGCATAGATCTACTAAATCTTCCAATCATCTTCCAGTTCCAGTCTGACACTTGATCCGCATCCAATGGCCATCCGGCCATGATGGATGCACCTTGTGAGACTCCTCAGTGCCATGGAGTCTCTCAATAAGCAAAGGTCAATGCCACAAGGTCCTTGCATCGAGTCTAATATTCCATCATATTCCATCCATTCCAATCCATTCCATTCCAATCCAATCCAATTCAATGGCCATCCATCCGTGTTCTTCCACCACCCATCCCCAGGCCTGGCGCCGCGCGGTGCGAAGCCTGTCGCGCTGCGTCCGGGACGCGGCGAAATTTGGGTTGGAGACCGCTAAGAGATCTACTCATCCACCCTAAACTCCGAATTACCTAATAACTCCTATTAGAGATACCGAAAAAAACAAAAAAACAGAAAACACTTCAAACACATGTTGACAGCTTTTTCAAGATGCTCCAACCACCCGGCTCGACAGTTCATTCCAGCTCAAACTCTTCCCACTGCATGGACTCCACACGGTCGTCGTGCCGGCTTCCGGCCACCGCTCTTCGACGCCAAGAACGGGGCGAAAAGTGCCAAGGCCGAGCTCGGAATTCAGCTCTCCGCAGCGTTGAGCTGCGTCTTCTGGCTGCCAAAGGATGCCTGGGGGGTGGAAAACACCATGGCATTTCAAACAGGTTGAAGAAGAGTTACATAGAAGATCATAATTGCTGTAAACCTCATGTGAACGAAAAGGAAACGGCTGTATTAATGGTTGACAATCCAGGTGTCACTCAGATTCTCGGTATAGGTTCTATATGGTTCTATTATCATCACAGGTGGTGATGTTTACGGCCACTTCATGTTTGATTCTTTTTGTAGGAATTTGGGCATTTGTTGCGATCAGCGCAATGGCCCGAACCCTGAAGGATGCAGCCCAACACGGCAATTCTTTGCGAGGACTTCTCGCCCCACGTCAAATGAGCCTTGTGACGCAGGCGGCCTTGTGACGCGAGCGTGGTCACTCTGTGGTCGATGAATGGGATTTGAACATCGGATGGGCATTCAGAACATTCTCGTTCTTCGCGCTGCCAAGTGCCCAGTCTCTTCTTTTTACGAGGTCCTACAAGCTTGGGGTCTTCGAATCGGTAACGTTTTTGATACCCATGCGACGTATGAAAGTTAGATTTGTGAGGTCCAGCAGTACGTGTCACGCTGTACCTCACAATCCACATGACTTGTTGCTCAAAGTCCGTCATGGACTTTTACACACGCCATTTGATCCTGAACACCGTGTTCATTTCTTTGGCGTGCTTCTTCTGCTATGCCTGGACGGCCCAGCATGGAAATGCTGCCGTGGCGGCTCTGCGCCATGCCCTGCAGTTTTGGCACTCCGCGGGTCATCCAGAGTCAACGCGGCTCACGGAGGCTCCCAAACAGTCCGCCGTCTGGTGGAAGACGGACGGCAACAGGAGCGTCATCCGCCCCGATGTGGTTTCATCCACCGGTTTGGAAGGCAGGCATTTATTTAGAGTATTTTAGAGTTCAGACCAGTTTTTGGATTTTAGATTTCATTCAAAGTTTTGCTGATATCCAAAAGTGCAAACACCTCTTCTCCTACATTGTATTCCCTGAGAGGCACAACTGTGATGATGAGCTGGGTGTCATCCTCGTCAACCACTGTGCTCTCCACAGCCCAGACCTGGTCAACTGGGACGACCACGACGTCTCCGACCACGACGTCCGCGCCAATCTCGTCTTCGAAGTCGCGAGTGGCGCTGATGATTTGTGGGCAGGTGTGGCCGGAGCACGGGAAGCACGAAGGTTTCAGCTTGTCCGGAGCGAGTGCATTGGGGGCAAACTGCAGGGAGTTCTGAGTGTTTTGTTCAGAAAAAGATGTTGAGATGTTGAGTTGGGACTTTCCTAGTTGGTCCATTGGAAAACCTTGCAACCCAGAGTTGTTTCACTGTCGCAGCATCGACATCATCGACGGGCAAGTTGCTGGCAGGTAGAAAATACCACTGGCCCTGCCACTGGCCCTGGCGGCAACAAGAAATCAAGATAAAGGTATGCAGTCCCATGAAACACTACAGAGTCTATATAAGTGTCTATAGAGTGTTTCATGGTGTTTGATGTTTTGGTGAGATTGGCCACCCATCTTTGCCATCACCTAACTTCCTTGGACCCGTCGCGAGAGAGAGTGAAAGGAATCCCCTCCCCGATGAAGACCTTCCCCCTATCAAGGAATCCCCACTTTGTGATACTTCTGGGGAGTGTTTAAAGGTTCCACTGGGAGGAAGATGGAGGAATCATGATACAATATTCAATATTTGTACACCTATCATCACCTATCCAATTCCAAAGCACTCAAACCACCCAAATGCAGGCCGCATTTGGCTGCATTCGTGTTTGGGAATCCGCCTGGTCCCTTCCGTCAGGTGAGAGGCTTCGTGGGTCAACAGTCCTTGCATGACTTCGTCGTGAAGCCATGGCAGGCGCAGACGTCGCGTCGGGTCGCCCTGCTCCGAGGGCGTCAGCTCTTCGGCTCCGAGCGCTGCGCGCGGGCCTTCAGGGCGCTCCGTGTCGTTGCGGAGGTCCTCATGTCACAACTGCCAGTTGCAGGTCCGGTTCCATCCGAATCCGGTCGTTTTGCTTGCCCCATCACATGCCCAGAAGCAACCGTTTCGCATGGCTCACACTCGTAACTCGTTTCGCCCAATTTCCCGCGGGTGACCGTTCCGCAGGCTGAGGAGATCTCGAAAAGTTGGGAGCTGGACATTTTTGCATGCTTTGACAAGGAGGTGAAGCCCAAGATGACTCTTTTCCGTGTAGTTTTTTTTTGTTTTTCAGCATGGGACGAAGGGAGATGCTTTTGGGGGTTCTTCTGCGCGTGGGGTTTGCCATGGAGCTGGTCCAAGTAGAAAAAGATGATATTACCCAAACATGGAAGGCTGGTGTGCCAGTTGTTGGGGGCTTGCAACCTTTTGACCTCATGGAAGTTGGGCCAGTCTGGATTGAGAGGAACTGTAGAGAAGATCAAATCAAAGTGCCCCAATATACCCCAATTCAATTCAATTGACAATTCAAGGGCATTTCTCCAGATCTAGGTCGGCACACTGATGGACAGGATTCCATACGCATGGGAAAGGTTGCCGTCCGTTGCCGTCCTCACTGCAGGGGCCTTCGAACGCGGCATGTTTACCTTTGAAGGAATACACACAGCGTGTTTCTTGCTTTTGGATTTGGGATCCAGGCATACTCAGGGCATACTCAGACACAAGCAGTCTCCTTCAGTCTATTTGATGTGTTCCTCAGGATAGCCTGCAGATCAACAGGGACAGGGTGTGAAAATTGCCACGTCGCGTGTGGACTGACGCTCCCAAAAAAACAAGCATCCAAATGGACTCCCCATTGCTCCGAACACCGCATCATCGCATCATCTCGTCACTTCATCCCAACCTCCCTCGCCTCATCGGCCTTGCCTCACCCTAGCAGCCCTAGCCTCCGTCTTCCCCAGGATGCGCTTCACCGCCTCCTTCACCTTCAACGCGCGCACGCAGTTCGAGCGCCTGGGGCTTTGCACTCGGGAGATCCTGCGCTTCGCCGAGCAGCAACACGCAGAGTATCGTTGGATTGTCAGGTGCGGTGGCCGATTGGGCGCTGGACTTCTCGGACGTTCCATCGTCAAAGTGGGTCATGGCCACCTGGTGAGCCACGGGTCTCCGATGTTGCGAAAGGATGCGAAAAGGTTGGTCGAATCAAGACCCATCAAGACACGGTCGAACAAGTCCGACCTCCCTGGAGCAGCCGCTCCTTGCAAAACCCAGGTCGAAAGGTGAATGCTATACGTATGCAAAGATTAACACACACATAATTATATAACTATATATAATATATATTGATATATATATATATATATCAACATTCATTAATTTGGAAAAACATAACATATACCGGTCAATACCTGTCCCTTTTTCATTGCAAAACCTGTCCCATGGCCTATGCCTTTTTGCCAGCCATTACATACCAGTAAACATGCCAGCCTTGCAGATTCTCGAATTCAATCAACACAAGTTCCAAACACCAAACCTCCATACGTCTCCAAACCTCCATGAGTCTTCGGGCGATCGAGAACCGCCGACCCCAGAGCCTCCCTCCGAGACTCGGTGCTTCAGAACAAACTCAGGTGGAGACCCGATTTTCTGGTCTACAAGACGGTGAAACATCCCTCGAGCTTACCACAGGGCTGCATCGGCTGCCGCTTCTTCACCGCGGCTGGCCTCAAGAAGTTGACGCAAGGCGAGGAAGGAGAGACGACGCCGGGTGAACGATCGGGTCGGGAGAGTGGGGTGGTCGGTGGTTTTTTTTCGTCGGTTTGGGGGAGTTTTGCAGATCGGGAAGAATCGATTTGTTGGACTTGAACTTTTAGAAGATACAGTACCTATATACCTTGGTTCAGGCTAGTCGTCTAGTTTCCAGTTGGTTAACTGTTTCAACAATTCTGCATGAGCGTGCTTTGGAATGGATCTTCATCGATGAACTGGTGTTCAAGATTGTCTCTTTTTCGGCCTGAACATAGGCCTTTATTGGCTAATTAAGGGGTTCAAGAATGAGAGGAAGCCACAGGCCGTTATTCCACAGGACATCCTGGCCGGAAGCACTAGGTATGCGGAAGACTGTTTTGAGATCCACTGCAGCCTGCAGCCATCCTGACCTGTAGCGGCACATGCTTTTGGGATGGGCATCCAAGGACTTCGAAGGCACAACTTTCTATGGTTCACGCACGCACTCAGTTTTGTGTGGTTGCTTGCACACACACACACACACACCTCAATAGTTTTTCTTGATACCAAGCTGCAGAGACGGCCTGGTTTCTCCGTTGTGGTGAAGCAACCATGTAAGCCAGCGTGTACACATGTAAGTGGTTGTCTCTATGGTATAGGTACCAGGAATATCCAGGAATTTTGACCAGCCACCAATTGCAACAATGACCAACCGGAGATCATGCACCTTGACCAACCCAGAGTGCAACAGCTTGCACACCTGCAGCTTCGATCTAACAGAAACGACATCACTGGCGCTGTTCTTCGGCGACCGCTCCGGATCCAGACCGCTCCCAGTGATCGACAGGGATCCACGCTGACCGCTCCCGACCCAGGCATGCTCTCTTGGGACCCCAAGCTCGCCGTGCGACCGGCGGCGCGCAGCTGTGGGGACTGCGACGATCAGGTCTTCATGGTGCCCAGCGAGTTCGTGCGAACGGCCCTCGCAGCATCTCGGACCTTTTTGGTGTTGTTTGATAGGGGGGTGGCTTGAAAAGTTATTCCAGGGGTCATGTCACCTACTGGAATATTGTTGGGGTTGCGCATGGTTGCGCATGGTTGCGCAACGTCTGGTGTGAGAGACCGGTGGGGACCATCTCTGATTTTGGGAGCCAACGAGCACTTCGAGGTTCGTTGACGAAGACATGGCGCTGAGAGCCAAGAGCCTTCATGGAACTCCTACACGAGCCGGTGGAACAGAAATCCACAGATTAAATTGTTACCCAGGCAAGTAGCATGTAACAGTAACATGCATGATATGATGCTTCCTCCTCTAGTCTCATCACTATTAAAACACTCCTCAAAGAACCGAAGACATCAGGACTTGGCGCCAACCACATCGACGAGCGCCACACAGCGGTACTTTACCAAGATTGGCAAGGGTGAGTCCCAGATGAACATGGCGACATGGTTTGCACATGTTTGCTTTAGTTGCCCAAGTTTGCTGGCTTTAATAGATCCGTATTAAGTTTTAAGTTGAAAGAGTTGGACCATATGGAGCTCGTCCGAAGCGCATCACTCACCTTATCTCACCTGACCTTCCTATAGCGGCCCCACTGAGGCCTGGGAGAACAATGTGCCCGCAATGCGCGTGTGTGGCATCGAGGTCTTGGGCAGTTTGGGAAAGCACACCTCACGCTGGAAAAGGCCCGACCAACCCACGCCGACCGTGGTCT